TGTATATGTTTTTTTAAGTGTTTAGATATATTCTTTATTGAATATTCTTTATTATATAATGTAATTAAAACATTTTTAAATTGAATGAATATTCTTAGATCATGAGTTATGTGATTAATTTGGATTTGCCACTACTAGTGATACTCAGATAGAATCAGATTCAGAAAACGGTAACTATTTTAAAAGATACTTAATTCAAGTTTTATTAGTTTTATTTTGAAATTAATTTTTATAGGAGCAACTCCATGCTTATGCAAAAGAAAACATAAAAACCAACAGAATAGTAAGCAAGTACCTACTCCTGTAACGCAAAAGAAGAAACAGAAAACAATTTTTATGCATACTCCACATACTGTAGCTCAAGGTATTAATTGTCTGTCTGCAAGTTGATTTAAGAAGAAAAGATTATGAACATTTTTTTCTATGCTTCAGTGATTTACACATTTTATTGGTTGCTAAATTAATACATTTTATTTAATTTATGAATAATTTATGAACATTTTGTAAATGTTTTGTTCTTGTGTTTCAACGCTTTTAGAAATTAATTAATGTTTAGTTCTTTTGTCTTTCTGATATATCTTTATTGTTAGAAAGAGATGTTAGTAAAAACTCTTTCCAGTAATTAAAGTAATATCATGACAAATAGTTCTGAAATTCTATGGATGAACTTGCAGCAGTAGTTTAATGATTATGATAACAGTTTAAATGATTCTTGGGTAAGGTCAGAAGTGATGGGTTGTTTCAAACCATGACTTTTTGCAGTTTTTTTTATTGTTTTTTGAAAAAGTATTTATTAATAACTTAGCCAAAGTTAATCTACTTGTAACTTTTTATAAATGTACTAAAAAAATAAAGTTGTGTAATTATTTTCTTAAACCTTTAGGTTAACAAACTTTCTAAAATTGGAGGTAAAACCATTAAGACAAATACAAAAAAATGTGATGCAAAGGTTTGTTAAGTAGTTTTAAATAAAAAATCTTTTGAATCTTTTTATTATAGTTTGTTTTAAACTTGTGTTAAAAATATTTTTAGCATATATTTTTAAAAGTTTGATGAATTCTTATCAGACATAAAATAAATCTTTTTTTTTTATGTCTGATTATAATTTTTTTTGTAACTGTTTTCTCTTACTTTTGTATTTTCTTCAGCTAAAGAACAACCTTAAAGTACAAAGGTTGATTTGTAACGCATACTTAACCTTTTTTTTTTCTCTATATATACATACATATATATGTACATAAATAAACATACATAATATGTATGTATATATACATACATATGCTTATATAAATATATTATATATGTATATATATATATATATATATATATATATATATATATATATATATATATATATATATATATATATATATATATATATATATATATATATATATATATATATATATATATATATATATATACGTTTTATTAATTTTTATCAAGTTGTACTTAATAAAAATTAATAAATAAAGTTGAACATTTTGAATATTTATTGATTATTATGATAAATTATACAAAATATATATAAAGTATAAATATTTTGCAAAAACACTTTTATTTGCATTAACTGCTTCATTGCATTGTGGCACGCTAGCAAATTTTTTTTATAGTTTCTGTCAACTCTGGGTTATTATGACAGATCTTGATATTCTCTTCCATAAAATCTTGCTTATTAGAAAGATTTTTTTTTCCAATCTCTTGCTTTACTTTTTCCCAAATGTTTTCTATGGGGTTAAGATCATGCGAGTTGTCTGGCTATAGCAATACATTAACTAAGCCATACCAGTTTTTATTGTGTGGCAAGTTGCACCATCTTGCATGAATATAAGATTTTTGACATCATTTTTAATATTTTTAAATTTTTTTTGTCAATTTTTGACTTTTTTGGCTGGACATCAATCCCTCTTCTTTTAGCCTTCAAATGGTCCGGTCTGACACAACAATTATACCTTCATGGATAAGTTTAGTGGCTTTTTTTCTGTTTTCCAGGCAGATATTTCTGATTATACTGTCCGCTCTTGGTGTTTTCTTGCGTCTAGAAGGTGGTCTCCTTGGACCAAACTCTTCCCCTGTATTAATTCTTTTTTTTACTTGCATTACGGTTTGGTAAGAAACCTTTGCGGTTTGTGCAATTTTTCATTGAGAATATTTTGTATTTTGTAAAAGACATTTTTATCAATTTTTAATGTAACTATAATAATAATAACAATGTATAATGCAGGTTGTTGACCAATGGTTTATAATCAAAGTTTAATATGGCTGGCGGTAAAGGTAAAGAGAAGTTTAAAGGAACAAACATTAGGTATTTACTTGTAAGTTAAGTGTAAAATTATATATTTTTTAAAAATCACAGTTCGTTTTTTTAATGCTATTTTATTTTTAACTTTTTGATGTATTTGATGCAAATTACTCAGGCAATACCTTTTTTATAGAGAGAATTTTGTCAATTAAAGTGACTGCTACAGTTGCCGAAATAAGAAAAGGAATAATGACTTTATTAAAATACGCACTCGACAAATCAAATGGTGGTGGTCGGCGCGTAAAAGGCGATTCACCCGATGTATAACATTCATACTTTTCCCAAGTTGTTCTGGAACTATTGATAATCGCTTATAATTAATACTTAACTTAACGCTGCTGCTCACCATTCGTGCACCTTTACACGGATTTTTTTACCATACTTGGCCTTTGAGTTTTATCATAAATTGCTTTACTTCTGAACTCGCCTAATGGGGCTCTTTCAAATCTTAATAATCTGTCAGTATCTGCTTAATCAGTAATGAGATCAAAAACTTTGTTTCATCAGCTTAATTAGTGATAAGATCAACAATTTTTATTTGATAACTTCTGTAGTAAAGGATGAACATTATGTTATTATTGAATTAGTAAAGTAACTTTTAAAGTCAGGTGATTTATTTAAATCATGCATTTTAGTCTTTTGTCAATTGTATTTAAATTTATTAATTTATAAAATTAATCTCTAATTTTTAAATTAAAAGACGACTCAAGAAGACGTTGCTCATTTCAAAGGTCAAGAGGTCAAACTCTTGATAAAGTTAGTGTTTAAAACACTTGCATCTCACACGGTCAACTCAATGTTACATGTTAAAGAACAAGATCGTTTAATACCTTATTTAAAAGAAGTTATAAAAATCCGTATAAAAAACCAGATTGTTTGATAGTTTGTTTTTGAAAGTTGTTAAACATTTATTACGAGGTATTTCAAAAAACAAAAATAAGGTTGTATTTGTAAAGTTTCAAATTTATATATTTTTCTTAATTTATATATTTATCTATATATGTGTGTTATTTATAATGTGTTTTATTGTGTATATATGTGTTAAGGTTATATGGGTTTATATTTTGTAAGTGTGTAAATATATGAAATGTTTCAATGTTTGTGGTGTGTTATATGTAATATGTTTATAGTTTGTAAGTGATAATTATGTTGTTTGCATGGTTTCAAATTGTTGTGACTGGGCTTAGTTTACAGCAAGATTGTTGACCTCGCTAGCCAAGTGGTGTACTTTGCTATAATGTGACCTGGCTTTGTTGAGAGCAAAAATATCGTCGTCGCCAGCAGAGTGGTGTATTGTCATAATAAAACACATAAATTAATTCTGTTTGTAATTAGTGTATTTCTAAAATGTGTTGAAAAAATATTGTTTAAAAAATGTGTTTTAATGTTGTTATCCTCTGTTCTTAACAATGTATGCTTTTGACAATAAATAAATTTTGTTAAAAAGCAGGCTTTACTAACAGCTCCTCCTCATTAAAATTTTTAAGAGTTTCGATTTTCTTCATTAAATATGTTTAACTCAAATTTTTTTTATATATATAAAAGTAAGTATACAGCGTGTTGAAGCATAAGTTTTAATAACTTTTGTTAAATTTTTAGGATTTTTTGTATAGAGAATGTTTTCTTTATATTATTATTTTAATGTTTTGTATGTACATCAATATATATATATATATATATATATATATATATATATATATATATATATATATATATATATATATATATATATATATATATATATATATATATATATATATGTATATATATATATATATATATATATATATATATATATATATATATATATATATATATATATATATATATATATATATATATATGTATATATATATATATATATATATATATATATATATATATATATATATATATATATATATATATATATATATATATATATATATATAGACACACACACAATAAAATATATAGAATTAAAATGTCTATACATATATTATATGTATAGACATTTTAATTTTTTTGCCTTAAATTATTGTCCCTTTTTCTTTAGAATATTAAATATCTAAAAAAAAAAAAATAGTAAAAGAAGTTTCAATATTTCCAAGTTTCTTCACTTGAAGCAAATATATGATTGTTTATAGAGGTTCTTTTAGTAGTTTTGTATTTATTTATTGCAAATCTTGCGTTAAATGCCTTTCAAAGTAATGAAAGGGTTTTGTTGATGGATGATTACATTTTATCCTTCCATGCTAGCAGTACCTGCTGAGTTGACAGGCCTTAAATTTTTTTAATTTGCTTTATTTATGAGTTCTTATATGTAAAAAATTTGTTTTTTAAATTACATTTGTTTTTTTTGTTTTTTTTGATTAAATACTTATAATATTTTGTCAATAATTGATAACAACTACCATAAATATATAAACAATACTTAGTTGAAAATATTACATTAATTTATAACTTTAGTTTAAGTTTTTAATAAAACTATGTTATCTTAACACAATGCTATATATGGTAGAATATAATAGATTATAGTATTATGCTCTGTATTATTTGCTTACACTTTATTTTAGATAAGTTTAAAAAAGAAACTTCAACTTTTATTATATTAGGCATCATTTTTACACACTCCTTTGATGCCTAATTATGTCTAATAATTTAAGAAATGAAATTATTAGACTTCGTCAAAATGAAAGAAGGCAGGCTAGGCGAGCTGAGATAAACCGCCGTCGAAATGAAAGAGATGAGCCCAGGCGAGCTGAGATAAATCGTCGTCGAATGGAAAGAGATGAGCCCCGGCGAGCTGAGATAAATCGTCGTCGAATTGAAAGAGATGAGCCCCGGCGAGCTGAAATAAATTGTAATCAAAATGAAAGAAATCAGGCTAGGCGAGAACTTAATAGGTATAATATGCATCGCATAGCAAGAAATAATATTGCTATAGAGAGTAACTACCTCGGAGAATTAAACCATAATTGTCAGTATTGCAGTGCAAAGAAGTTTTTAAATGAAACTCATTTTTTGTGCTGCCATTCAGGAAAAGTTGCATTAGCTCCTCTTTCTCTTTATCCGCCATTGTTGACTGGTTTAATGACAGGAAACCATGTTGATCATGCTGTAAATCAAAATTTTTTTAAACACATAAGGAGTTATAATTCCTCTTTATCTTTTGCTTCCTTCACTGCCGAAATAGCTCCTCCCTCAAATAATGGCCCTTTCTGTTTTAGGGTCTGTGGGCAAATTTTGCATCGTGTTGGAAATTTAAGGCCTGCAGAAGGTTGTCTGCCCAAATATTGTCAGCTGTATATCTATGATCCTAATGCAGCAGTGTCATTCAGAATGGAACAACCTGGTAATGATGGTTGTATACATGAGTTAATGAAACTCTTGCAAACATTAATTAATCAAGAAAACCTTCTGTTACAAGTAAGTTGTTCTATTCACTTATACTTGACTTAAATTGGATTAATTGGTTTTATTGCATTTTTAACTTTCTTTTATTTATCTCTAGCTGCTTCTTCTGTTATAAGTAAGTCACTTTTACTTAACTTATTACATTGATTGATTGTTTTTATTGCATTTTTAATTTTCTTTTATTTATCTCTAACTGCTGCTTCTTCTGTTACAAGTAAGTTGTTCTATTCACTTATACTTGACTTAATTTATGGATTAATTGGTTTTATTGCATTTTTAATTTTCTTTTATTTATCTCTAGCTGCTGCTTCTTCTGTTACAAGTAAGTTGTTATATTCACCTTTACTTGACTTATTACATTGATTGATTGCTTTTATTGTACCTTTTGTTTTTTAATATAGCTACAAATGTGCTTTCCAGTTTAATTAGTTAATGTAATAAGTCAAGTATTAGTGAGTAAAATAAATAAGTTGTTGTGCTCACTTGTACTTAATTTATTACATTATTTGCTTTTATTGTTTTTTTACAGTAGATTTTTTGTAAGTATTACCTTGGTACATAGTTGTATTTATATATAATTTTTTTTTCAGGCTCGAAGTCATGGGAAGAATTCAGAAAGTATCGCTCCCAGCATCCAGGCCCTCTATCTATGAGGGCCTTCCATCGCTGGTGTTTGTATGGGGACGACCATCCCTCCTTTAGATGGAGGGATGGCACCCCATACAACACGGGGAATAAAGCGGATGCTGGGAGGAGAAGACAACGTGGCGCAAAAGTTGTCAATAATTTTTTTACATAATAAAATGTAAAGAAATTGACAACTTTTGAGCCACTTCATTTTTTTTTTTGTAATATATTTTTGTAAATTTATTTTTGTGTTGTTTTTTATTTTTCCCATGAATGTTAAATGTTATCAAAGTAAATCATTTAAATAAAGACACCTTTATCAACAATGCTCATTAACTAGAAATAAAAGTCACGGTCATACATTTGATAAAGTTAATGTTAATCTCAAAGGGATTTGGTTTTCACACAATCAAATTCTATCTAGCACCTTCCAGAACTAAGAATATAAGTGTGTGGTGTCAGTAGTTTAAAATATGTATAATAAACTCAGAATAACTCAATAACCCTCAACAAAACTATGAACTAATTTTTAAATTCAAGTTGAGCTTTTTTTATTTATTAATACCTCCCCTCCCAATAACTCTAATTTTCCTTAAAAAACTAATTTTTTTGTCCTTTGGAGGTGGTTCTGCTATTTAATTAATTGTTGTGATGTTTTATGCAAATAGATTTAGCTCACATTCATGTTGGTCTGTCAGGGTTATGTAAAAATAAAAAAGTAAGTTTCTTATTCGCATTTTTGAGTTTTCAAAAGTATTGATTGCATGACATGTTAATTTGAAATTAATGTGTATGATTATGATTATGCGTTTAAATAACTTTGTTCCATTTTTAGTTCCGTTTCTTATAGCTGACTTGATTATGGCTTACCTAAAGCTTAATATTTATGAAACAATGATTCAATTTAAATTGTATTATAAGTAGCTCAGTTGAATAAATTTTTTTTTTGTAATTTGTACTAAAGGTTATATTTTTATTTTATATCAAGAAAAATATGTTTTTAAGTAAATATCTATATTTTTTTATTTTGGGATTTATTGGTTTAAATGGATATAAAAATCATTTTTGCTTTGTCTTTCATATTTCCTTTTATTATATATGAATAGGAACCATTTATGCTTTAATCACCATTAGCACTCGAAGTTTCCATTTGCATTAAGTATCGATTTTTGGCACACACAACAGGTTTAATAACTTAGGCAGTAAAAACAGCTTGAATGATTTGTTAAGAGTCTTTAAAGAAACGCTTTTACGAAAAGCATTAAATAGATAAAGCTAACTTATTTAAAATAATAAGTCTTTAACCCGTTTTTCTATATCCAAATTTACTTTTTAAATAAATGTTGATGAAAGGGTAAAATATCGTTATAGCCTACGTTAATTTTAAATTCTTTTTTAATTAAAGGAAAGAGTTTTGATACTTATTTAAATAGGGTTAATAAAATATTTTAAATTATATTATATATATTATATTTAAGAAATTATTAAACTAAATTAAATAAGATTTTTAGATGAAACAGTAAAAATAATTGTTTAAAATACGTGCGTGCAAATAATTCCTACAAATACTAAACGTAAAATAACGCTTACAAACACCAAAAGTATGTTTGCAGTGAATAAAGTTAAGTTCAAAGATAAATAGGAAGAAATGTTTAAAACTGTTTCAATGATAACATTTATTTTTAATTACTTTTGTTGTAAGTTGGGATGAAAAAAAAAAGTCACTGGACTATGAACTCCCGGGGTAAGATGACTATAAATGTCTAAGTGTTGCGCGTCTACCAATTAGCCCATAAACGTATTTTCTATTTAAATTTAAGATTATTTATGACGCATAAGAAGTGTAATTAAAAATTCAAAACCAAGTTTGCAACAACTGAGTTTAAATAAAATCTAATTAGATGTGTATATGTTATGAACGTTAACTAAGGCGTACTTTAACGGCGTCACGTGTTGAATGTTTTAGCATTTTTCTAAGTTCGTAGTCTTTTTTACGTTTTTTCTTATTAAAATTTTTATAATCGGCATAATATTAAAATCGTTTGAAGTTTTTAAAAGAACATTTTAACAGAAATGTTTTTGTCATATCAAAAAGTAAGTATAGTTTTTTATATGTACATTTTTAAACGGTTTTAAAAAAATATTGAGGTAAGGAATAAGTATAGAAAAGGTCGGTGTAGAATAGATTTACTAAGACCCTTAGTTTACGTCCGGATAGCTATAGATAAGTATAAAAATGGTCGGTTCGGTAAAGACCCGTATTTTACCGGTCACCCCAGCTAGTAGTTATTATTGATAAATTGATAAATATATTACTGATAAATAAAACTTTTTTTTTAAACATTTTATTTTATTTGCATTGTATATAAAGTCCGTTGAAGCAATTTAGTTGTATCTGATTAATTTACGTGAAATATAATATCCTCTTCGCAAGTTATTGCTTTTTTATTCAGTTATTTTATTGCAATTAAAGTTGAGATAGTTTTTTAGTTAATTGGATTTAACCAAAATAAAAAATAAAAATCAATGTTGAATTTACGTTGTTTCAACGTTGTTCTAACGTCTTATCAACTGCGCATCAATCGAATATATCACCTATTCAAAGTTGAAATATGGTTGATATGTAGTCGATAAGACGTTAGATCAACGTTGAAACGGCGTAATCATCGACGTTGTTTCAACGTCGTAGTATTTGACGTCGGATTTTATTTCCAATTCAACCAAATTTCAACGTTGTTTCAACGTGGCATATTGTCGGTTTGCGACGTTGTTTCAACGTTATTTCAACGTCATTGTGCCTGCTGGGTATTTATTGATATTATGGTAGTTACTATGTTGGAATGAAAAGTAATATATCACCTGATAATATATGGAATTATGATGAAACCAATCTCAGTGATGATCCAAGTAAAAAAAAAAAATTAACAAAGCGTGGATGTAAGTATCCTAAACGCATTATTAATTCTACAAAGACCTCATTCTCTGCAATTTTTTGTGGCAATTCTAATAGTGAATTGCTACCACCTTATATTATTTACAAAGCTGAGTCGTTATGGAATACATGGATGGAACATGGGCCACCAAAAGCACGTTATAACAGATCAAAAAGAGGTTGGTTTGACTCAACATGTTTTGAGGACTGGTTTTTCTCTTTACTTCTTCCAAGACTTAAGAAGGCTCAAAGAAGAAGTGTCATTATAGGTGATAACGTATCTTCACATTTGAGCATTGCAGTACTGGATGCATGTCAAAGCAGTAACATAGGATTAGTGACATTACCAGCAAACTCTACACATCTCACGCAGCCATTAGATGTTGCCTTCTTTAGACTTATGGAGATTAACAGGCGTAAAATACTATATGAATGGAAGGAGAAAGGAAAAGGAAGAAGAGTTGCTTCTTTTCCTAAAAATGAATTTCCTAGACTTTTAGACCGTTTAATTACTAACTTAAGTGAACATGGGAATATTAACCTTAGAGCTGGTTTTCGCAAAACACCATTTAAACCACCAAAAAGATACTTCAGGTAAATAATTTTCAAATGGGAGACAGATAGTTCTAACTGTCCTTTCTATGCGCTTCTAAAAGTACTTAGTGTTTAAGGAAATAACTTTTGTGGCTTTCATGCAATAGACATGAAGATGCAATAGAGATGAAGATATATATATCTTACGATGTATATATATACATATATATATATATATATATATATATATATATATATATATATATATATATATATTTATATATATATATATATATATATATATATATATATATATATATATATATGTATATATATATGTATATATATGTATATATATTTATACATTTATATATATATATACAAATATATATATATATGTATATATATATATATATATATATATATATATATATATATATATATATATATATATATATATATATATATATATATATATACAATAATAAATAATCTCAAATAAATAAGCTGTCAATCGCAAGTTCAATATATATATTGAACTTGCGATTGACAGCTTATTTATTTGAGATTATTTATTATTGTATATATATATATATATATATATATATATATATATATATATATATATATATATATATATATATATATATATATATATATATATATACTTTATTTATAATTTTATTTAGACATTATAATGTCTAAATAAAATTATAAATAAAGCTTGAATTATTAGTAACTTATGTTTTATTTATTAACGATGCTTTAAGATCCTTTTCCTATGAATTAAATTTTTTAAAGTTCATATTGTTTAGTGTTTTTTTTTTTTTATATACTATAAAAACGTAACTCTAAATAAGACAAACTTCAAAATTCAATTCAAATAAATTGAATTCAAATTGAACACAAAATTGTTTTTAAACCATTTGAATTCTATATAATATAGGAAACTAATTTTCAGAAGTACCTATAAAACTTTAAACTGCTGAATCAGCAAAAAGTACACAAAAAATGAGTTAAGTCAAACAACTGTTGCTTAGAAAATACTTGTGCAATCAAGCTTTACATTTTAAAAATTTGAGACAATACATATATAAAGTGCCTAAAGCAAGATTATTTCATACTTTTAATTTGTTTTATAGTGGCAGTTAAATTGGTAAATAATCCAAAAGTTTTACTGAAATTTGGCTGTTAAATACCAATTTTTCGAAAAAAAAAATATTTCTGTTGAAGATCCTCCTTCAGGCATTACTGTAAAGTATAATAAACAACTGTAAAAACTTATACGTTTAACTACACCTTTTCAAGATGTAATTGGGAAAACAAAAATTGTAATTAAGAATCGTAAGATGTAATTGAGAAAACAAAAGTTGTAATTAAGAAACGTAAGATGTAATTGAGAAAACGTAAGTTGTAATTAAGAAACATAAGATGTAATTTAGAAAACGAAAATTGTAGTTAAGAATCGTAACATGTAATTGAGAAAATGTAAGTTGTAATTAAGAAATAGAAAGATGTAATTGAGAACACGAAAATTTTAATTTAGATATCGCTTTAAAGGAGTAAGTGTAAAATGGCGCTTAAAAAAAATGGCGCGTAAAAAAATGGAGCGTATAAAATGACGCACTTAAAAATGACGCAAGATTTGTAGCGTAAATTTAATTTT